CTGGCCACATTCCCAGAATAAATCAAACTGTGCCGAGTTGTCGCTGCTCGACTTGCATCTGATCGATATTCGACTGCAAAAACCGAGATTACAGACGAGATTAAAGACGCAGAGCGAATATACACTATATACACTATATATACACGTGCGTCACGGACGTTTTATCCTGCAGGATTTCGTACGTATAAACAATCGAATAAACCTGAAAGGCCGTTGCGTACCTTTATATTTATATTTATATTTATATTCTCTGCTCGTTTGTCCACATGTGCTGATTAATCCTTCTTCCGCTGGTCCGCTACAAAATGTTCGCGTAATTATCAAATCACTTCGGAAAGGAATTGTCCGAAATCTTCCAAAGTCCAATTTCGTGCCATTCCGTGTAATTGGAGAATTATTAAGAATCTATAGCTTCACGCTGTTGTGCACAGCCTTCGAAAAGTACATGGTAAGATGATAAGCAAACTGTGCCAACAGACAGATAAATCTGTCCACCAATTTCCGACCTGAAATTAACGAATAACTTCGTTTAAAGGAAATTTATAATTATAAAGTTTATATACAATTCATAAAGAGAAGGAAGTGAAAGAGCAGTAAGTCAGTATCGAAATTGAGTAAAAGCTGGAAGCGTTGCTTAGACGCAGTTGCATACAGTAAAAATTGTGCGAACAAGACTTTGCATCGAGCTGCGAGTTGTGCGCATATAATGCGAATAAGATCAAGAGTAAACGCAAGATAAAGGAGTAAACGCTTCCGGAAAATGTGTTGGTCTCGACCAACAAGTTGCTGCGAACCAATGCCAGTTTCCTCGGCTTCGGCTTACGAACATTCAAGTTCGTAACGTTCCATCATACCGATATCCAACATTAGTCGTAGCAGTAAATGTTACAAACTTGGTAGATACGTAGATGCAGCGATGCAGCGGTTGAAACATCCCACGTACGTATCCTACATATTTATACGCATAATTTTAAAAGATTTTCAAACATCTTTGCAACTGCATACATGCATTTCCATTGAAACGTACGATCCCGACGGTACATTTCCCGACTGACAGACATATTTCTCATGGTTTTAATTTTCAAAGTCACGCAAGAATGTACGTACGTTGAATATCGTTCACCACGAATTTCAAGGTCAAGGGAAAACTTTAGAGCCAACAAAGTTCTTTTCATCACTGGCTCGTACGTCGACAATTCGTACGTTCAGTGGCAACTGTTCATAATTGTCACGCAATTGCCGAGATTGCGACGACAACGACAACGATGACAACGACAATTCGTAGTTGCTTCGCACAGGAATCGCACGCGTCGCTGACACGATGCTGACGGAAGGACAAAGGATGAAACTAGTGCGAGAGAAACTAGTTGCGCGCAACAGAGAAGCGAAATTTCCACGAGTAAAGGGAACGGTGAACACGCGCGCACGCAACAAAGAGAGAACGCCCAAGCACAACGTGATTTATCGTTACGTTGGCTGCAACTAAACGGTGAAACGAAGACGAACACGTAAACCACCACGTAAAAATAGATCGATAAAAGCCTGCAAAGCGCGAAACCTTTCAACGCGATTCGACGTAATTCGATATATACGCGTGGAGAGAATGGTGAATGGCGAGAAGCATTCTCACGAGGTACGCGTACTCGTCGCGACGCGTACGCGTATACAATGGATCTCTTCCCTTTGGAATTCCATATCCTGGCTGTGCGAATAACTTTCTTCCCATCTTTTTCCTTCCTATTCTCCCGGCGAATAATTTTTTCGTTTTGCGCGCATTGTTGCGCTCTCCTTTGAGGCGGGAACTCGACTACTACACTCTTTGCGAGTGTGAATCTGAATCTTTTCTTTCTCGTCAACGTCAGCTGATCGTAACGAACTCGTAATAAAATTGTACCCGTTGCATCGGTTTGTTCATATCAATTTATTTCTCATCCCGCGAAATATACATTCCTCTTACCGATGTTGAACCATTTGTTCTATAATCAATCGTATCGTTTGCGTTGCGTTGCGTTGCGTTGCGTTGCGTTGCGTTGCGTTGCGTTTGCGCATGTTTGCGACATTCACGCGACACAACTTCCGGTACAAAGTGTTGCGTTGTACAAATCTTTGTAAATCTTTCGCGCCAATTGGAATTTACACGTGAATCCCTCGCGAATCCCGGTAGCTCGCCCGTTCCACCGCGCGAATAATAATACGCTTACGGCGATTAAAATATTTCTGCTTTCAACAAAAGTCGACACGAGTCGACGTTATTGCACCCCGCGAGGGCGTGCAAAAAGAAAAAAAGAATCGCCGGCAAGGAATGATGACAATTTGCTTACACGTACGAAACGTTGCATTACATTGTACGTTTATGAGAGATAGGGAGAAGTATCTAATCTCGCAAACAGCGTGCAAGCGCGTGTAATCGAATTTCCTTAAGTACAGAGAAATGATTTCAGGTACAAACTACCAGTACGAAGTACTTTTACACCGGTCGATCAATGCGGACGCAGCGCACCTGTCCAATCCACGCGGCCCACTGTCCAATTCTTTGTTCGGTACACAGTACAGTACACAGTACAGTAACGACAGTATGAGACAGTCGTGAGACAGAGAGACACACACGTAACGAACGAAGCATCGCACAATGTTAATATATCCAATATATTTCGTAACAAGCTCGATATATTAAATTATGACTAGCACAGCGTGTCAATGTATTTATTGATTTTTAGATTACCATGTTACGTAACGATACGTTACGATTTCATTACACGCGATCGTCGAACGACCCGATCGCGTGTAATCAACTAATTTAATTATCCACAATATATCGTGCACATTATCTACGATTAAACGTTGAACATATTTCATTTTACGCGATTAACATGACAGTATGAACACCATTATTTTTCCATGAAAGGCACGTAACTTATTTCGCGCACCGCTAATATTCGTAAAAGTTTTCCTCGTACATTGTTCTAATTCTCCGGCGCCTTCAACGACTCATCACCCGAGTAAATAAATAAATATAAATACGTTACGAAAAAATGCTCTAGTTCCAAATGGCACCCGTGATGGATCTCTGGTAGATCTGGTAGATCTGGTAGACGAAAAATTGGTAGATTTCGTGGGCTCAGGATCGGATATCAAAATACGCAAGAACGTCAGTTAGTTTGCATTCGGCGATGCCGATTATACGCCGAACATCTGCATGCACGATCGAGAAATACGTAATACGAACGTACGAAAAGTGATACGATCGATATACGACTCGTTTACGTTCTTTTCTAATTCCTGTCGGAAGAAAATTCCCGTCTTCTTGCGAAAGCAGAGAATCGTCGAAAATTTCGAAATCGATCGAAATCGTCGTCCGTTTGTTCGTCAGTCTACTAATAACAACACTCGCCGTAACGATTTCATCAACATCAACGGTAATCCCAAAGGAATTAAAATGTAAAAAGACTCGCTCGAAAGAGAAAACGTCGCGAGAAGATACGTGAAACATCCAAGCGTCCGCAAAATCAGAGGTATCAATGACGCGTGTGTCATCAGAAAACGATGAAAAGTTTGTTTTTTCAGTATATCTAGAAATTTAGATTCGAACGTCACCAACCAAATATTCCAATGGAAGACTCGGTCAAGTCTTGCGTATTATTTTTCTCAAAGATTTACGTAACGTTGGCGATTTACTCTTACGTTGCACACGTAATAGCGAATAGCGAATAGCGAATAGCGAATGGCGAATACGAATCGATACGGGTTTCGAAAAATTATTGAAATCGATGAAACGATGTTTGGCCGTCGAATTTATAAGAAAACAACGCCAATGGTCAGAGGTGCATTTGGTGGATTTTTGGAACGCGAACGCACACGTCGCATCGTTGAAATAATTTTTTAAACACATAAACTGCCAAAACGGAAGTGAATTTCACATTTATCGGCTCACACATCGTCCGTCTATATCTGTCAAATTTTACACGTTAATCGACTACGCGCATTTCGGAATTTTGTCCTGAAGAAATAGTAGAAGCACGTGATATTTCGTATCACGCTATCTCTAAATATTCTACTTTCGTATAAATTATAGGCAAGCGAGACTATTACTTTCGTTATACGAGAGGATGATGAAAATTTATCGCATACGCTCGCGAAATGAAAACGTCTACGACGATACTACCTGTTACAACGTACGTACGACAACGCTTATTTCTTCGGTCGAAAAACTTGCAATTAATCTTAACTTAAATTTCTTAAATTATATAAAAATTTTCTCGCGTCAACTCTAGCTATAATCCTCCATTTAAACATTGCACTCGCATTTGACTAATTTCATTCTACCGATTGTAAATGCACGATATACTTTAAATATATCATAGATTTTTAATATATTAAACGCTTTGTCATAAAAATATTGAAAGCTTTGCAATTATTACTAAATTTCTATATTCTTTATCCTTTTCGGTACGAGGTTCGTTGACCATTCGATATTGATTAATACCGAGAGCGAGAGCGAGAGTTTCGCACGTGTTGCAACAAAACATCGCAAACGTAATAACACGCGTACCGCGTCTCTGAATAATTTTCAAAAATCAGTTGAAAAATTAAAGATCAAGAGCAAGATTGATAGACGCGACACTATCGATCGACGACAATACACGCGTACAGAAATTGATCAACAAATTACGAATTACGATCAAGTAAGAAGTAACAAGTCGATGTTACGTCGATTTATCTACGAATTATTATTATTATCGTTAAATATAAGGCGAAACATAAAAAAAAGTAAAATGCAAGAACCGAATAAATAAAGTTAAAACGCGAATTACTGCAATTACTCGAGTCGTGTAACATTGCAGAGCAGTGCGTTGCACATGGAATGCCTTCATCGGCTAAAATGTCGTAAAAAAAGAATTTTGTAATTTTTTCCGAAAGATGAATTTCCAAGCTTACGCAAGCTTTACGTAAACAGTAAAAATACGCGTTTTAAAGCGTACAATTGCCGTATACAATTCGACGAGTATCGATTCGAGTCGACAATCGAGTCGATACGTATGCATTTTCAGTCAACAATCGTACCGAAGAGGTTAGAGGTAAGAGCTTAAACGTTTGCAATTTCCCATCCCTTTCGCTCGGTACAAGGTATTTCACAGTTAAATACGCAACGTGTTACACGGTAATTGGACACGTCGAAGTATACACAGGTGGAAAAACGTGCATACACGCGTGAAAGATGTCATTTTCTTCTCAGGTCCACCACTTCTATCACCGCAGTTACATCCAATTTACAATGTTTTGCTTTCTGAAAAAAAAGAAAAGAAAAAAATTCTGTCTAAAAATGGGTATAATTGTAGGAAAAAGTATCCCCGTATACAGAATAATTACCGTATACAGCGGAGGATCCGTTGGATGCGGATGAAATCCAGTTTCTCTGCAATTAGCAATAAAGTCCAATCCATATTCCGGAGTTAGGATGAAAAACCCTGTCCTGAAATAGACGAATATTTCTGAATTTAAAAAAACGTTTCTCCTCTCGGACGTACGTTACATTCGTCCAAATATTTTTCCTCGTTCACTCACTCGTCGTATTTAGGAGCGCAAACGATGGCGATCGCTTCAGCCATCATAAGTTGATACGCGCAATGCGTATGAAGATCAACACTAGACAAAAAGGCAGTCTGTGTAGGATGTGTCTGTAAAGTACGATCATCTTTTCTATTTGTAAATTTATCAAACTTAACTTTCGCTTTCAACGAAACAACTTTACTTTCTTAAATTCACAAGTAATAATTATTATTATTATTATTATCACGTATACCAAATACCACGTACATGTATCCAACCAAGAGTAATCAAATTATGTTGATCCTGATAATCAAATATATCTTCTTCGTTATGCGTCACGCAAGAATCTGGAGATCCAGTTTGTTCAGGAATCAACAAATGAGTAACTACTAATTTATTTCTTTCTAATTTTCCAGCTAATATACCACAAGTTTCTTTATTGTTCGTGGTATTAGCGAAAGCCAACACGAGAAAGTTGTGCATTAATTTAGTCGGCAGTACTACGTCTCTCAAAGCGAAACTGTCGCAAAGCAAGGAAGGTTTCGTCGAACGATCTACAGCGGGTCTGTCGAAAAATACAATCGTATAACACTCGACACAATCGTTGGAAATTGCTAGAAGAATTCGATTTTTATTTACACCGTACTTACTTCTCTCTGGATGTTTGCGCAATTATATCACTAGATGGACTTACTAACGCTCTCGACGATACACCGGTGATTCTTTTAACCTTGCCATCTTCCGGAGACGTTGCACTCGCAGTCATAGCAGCCTTTGCTGCTTTGACAGCTGCTAATGCAGCTAATTTGTTTTTCCTCTCTTCCTCTTCTCTCAACCTAGAGACAAGTATCGTACCAACGTTATATA